ACTTTCATGGAAACCAATCGATGAGAAGTGAACAGAAGTTGGCTAATTAAAATTAAATTTTAAAAATAATATTATTATAAAAAGAGACAAAGGTTACCAAAGCAACCTTTCTCAGTTCTTCCACGATCCTTTCTTTAAAGTGAACAGATGACTACAGCCACAATAGTTTTGAGGAATATTAACAGAAGAATCATAGACATAAACTTAAAGGTGGTTGAACCATGAAACCAACATAAGCAACATCTACTGTCAGACTTATTATATCAGGAAAATAAAATCCTATATCTATAATATAATTAAGTTAGGTTTTCCCTTACTTACCAGAGAATGAATGCCTAACCATTTCAATTGTTCTTAAAATTTACACTTGAAAAACAGTAGATGGAAGTTACGTTCTTTAAAATGAAAGTAAATACCGCCGGGCGCGGTGACTCACGCCTGTAATCCCAGCACTTTGGGAGGCCGTGGCGGGTGGATCACGAGGTGAGGAGATCGAGACCATCCTGGCTAACACGGTGGTGAAACTCCGTCTCTACTAAAAATACAAAAAAACTAGCCAGTCGTGGTGGCGGGCGCCTGTAGTCCCAGCTACTCGGGAGGCTGAACCCGGGAGGCGGAGCTTCCAGTGAGCCAAGATCGTGCCACTGCACTCCAGCCTGGGCAACAGAGCGAGACTCCGTCTCAAGGAAAGGAAAAAAAAAAAGAGAAGAAGAAAAGATAGTGAACGATGCTTATATTCCGTTTGGGGTAAGGGAAAAATTACAAGCAGTGTGGGCGAAAAGTATACATTCATGGAAAAGTTTCTGAATGATAAACATGAGAGTGAAAGAATAAAGTCAAATATGTGAGTTATTTCATTAAATAATAAACTAAATTATTCCTTCCTCTAGATCAGGGGTGTCCAATCTTTTGGCTTCCCTGAACCTCACTGGAAGAAGAGTTGTCTTGGGGCACACATAAAATACACAGACACTAACAATAGCTGATGAGCTTTAAAAAAAATTGCAAAAAAGATCTCATAATATTTTAAGAAAGTCTATGAATTTGTGTTCGGCTGCATTCAAAGCCGTCCTGGGCTGCCTGTGGGCTGTGGATTGGACAGGCTTGCTCTAGATCCTCTCAGATTGGGTTAAATAAAAAAACCCAGCCATATGCTGAATATAAGAAATAAACATAAAATAATATGAAAAAGAAAGGTTGAAAATGAAGTGACATTTAATGAGACTGGG